TAAAAAAAAAAACTGCTGGAGAAGAAATTATATATCACATAATAAATACTTAACTGTTACTTAAAATATACTACTACCTTTTCTACTGCGTGCCTTATGCTTTCGTGACAATCTGAAACAATGCAAAGACCCTCCCTATCACCAACTAGTTCTTGCAATTTTGTGAAAAACCAGACGTAGGAGTTGTTATTTTGGGAGTCAACAACGCTAAATGCAAGCGGTAATATATGAGAATTTGCATCTTGACAAGAGACTGTCAATAAAATTCCTCCATATACCGACGACAAAAATGTCCCATTGACAATAACAATTAGCCGACAATGTACCCATCCTTTAACAGCTGCACCGAGTGCCATGAAAACGTACATGAAATTCTTATCCCATGTGGTGCGCATCATCACAATGCTACCCGAGTTTGATGCACGTACGTTACTAAGATATTGATGAGCATAATCGCATGATTCATCAACCTTGCCACAAACTTCATCAACAGCTTTGCGTTTCGACCTCCATGCTTTGTGATATGTCAAGTTTATCCCGAACGATTTTGCATGTCGTCAATGATATCACCCGGATTATATGCAGTTTTATTGTTAGTGAATTTTGTCTTGATGAAACTACTAACAAGTGTTGATGTCGCCTGTCTCTGATTACTAGTACGGACATCCAAAGCACATATATGTTCAGTCCCCACGTCTCTTATCTTAAAAGTGTTTGACCGACCCATACGGGAAGCTTTCACAAACCATGTACAATTGCTCGAGACACACCTGGCATAATATTGAAAGTGTTAAATATAACAGAATATAAGTTAAATATAACAAGATATAAGTTAGATATACCAGAATACTAATCGGTCGAGACACGCCTGACATAATATTGTTTGGAGCATGACTTGTCAACCTTGAATTGATACTGATGCTTTATAGCATGCATGGTCAGCATCGTCTGTAACGTTTCCTTATCCTTTAGTAAAAGACCAGCAACAATACCAGAGTCAAAATTTTCCTCACCTGTCATCCGCATTTCAGAACCAGGGTATATGTTCAGTATATTTTCGGTATATGCTGCCACTCTACCATCTCTTCAGCCACGTTCCTCGTGAACGACATGAAATTTATCGTGCCATCTGATTTATCAGGATATCTGTCAAGCTCCGGATAAGACAGTGGAGCAATGTTTGATTCGCAATTCAAAGAACCTATATTCACTTCTTCATCAAACGAATTTTCAACACTACTCCGAGATTTCACCACAACGCACACCGGATATTTCGTGTAGTCAGCTTCTTTGGACACCAAAAACACATATAAGCTAAGGCTGCTATTGCTGTTTATCGACATTAGTGGACTACCTTCCTTCAGCTTATATTTTAGGTCAAGCACAGATGATTGAGGTATCAACCCGAGCTCCTCACATAATATACCGCATAATTCGTTGAAGCTGCCTTCTTTTCGAACTAAAACACCAGATAGTTGGTAATTCACGTAATCATTCATCACCCATTCACCCCCATGATATATGAAGATCATCATATTCGGATCCATCTGGAGAAAAAAAATAAAAAACAAAAAAACGAGAAGACATCAGTACGAAAAAATCAAAATATACCAAGACTTAATAAAGGTTAATAAAACAAAATATACCTCCCAATCTTTGGATTGTATGTATTGGTTCTTGAGTGTTGTTTTGAGTGATGAGTGCTCGCCACAGATTCTGATCAACACCCCACGTTTTTTTTCTCTTGTTAATGAAGAGCGTCTGTCGAAGACGATCAATCGACAACACCCCCTTTTTTTGTTTTATGAATGAAGACCGTCTGTCGACTGTTTTCGAAAAATATCTGTTCGCCTGCGTGTTTTCTTTCTTTTGTCCCGTCCGTATCACTGAATATTATGAATTCAAATTCAAATGTAATATCCTTCCATCTTGAGTCCTGAAATTATGCGCTAGAAACATGGAAAGGTTGTTCCATATCGTGTAACTGATTTTAGGCATGACTATAATTATTTTTTATCTTTTAGGTATATACACAATTTAATTGATATGAGTGGTAAAGTTGCAAATATTTAAAAAACGTGTAGCATAGGTAAAAATTTCCCAAAGATATAAAGAGGAGAGAGAACCACAACGAGAAAACCATAAACCATCATCACTTTATTTATTTACTTGTGATCTATATATTGAAAAATATATTGTACATCAGTAATGACCCATTGGGTATTGAGCCCGTACCTGTAAAACCTATATTCAGGTAATGTCCATAAATTAATTGTTTACAACAAGTTTGCAATTGGGATGAACGAAAAAGATAAAAAAAAAAAACCGATACAGAGGAGCTCAAAAAGGCCTTGTGGGAAATGCACCCTATCAAAGCGTCGGGAATTGACGGCATGTCACCTTCCTTTTTTCAAACCTCTTGGCATACCATCAAAGCATCCCTTCTAAAAGCGATCCAGTCCTTCACCTCTGGAAAATTGCCAACCTACACAAATAAAACAGCAATAACCCTTTTTCCCAAAAAGAAAAATTCAAAACTTCTCCAGGACTTCAGACCAATTAGTCTCTGTACAGTCACTTATAAACTTATCTCCAAAATCCTCGCTAACAGACTCAAACCAATTCTCCATCTTTGCATCAGTCCAAACCAAGCTGCTTTTGTCCCGGGCAGACAACTCCTCGACGATTTTGTTCTCGCCAATGAATGCATTCACCACCTGAAAAATAAAAGAACAGGAAACTCATGTATCATGGCCCTTAAGCTCGATATGATGAAAGCCTTTGATAATGTTGAATGGCCATTTCTAGCAGCTATTTGCAAAAAAATGGGTTTTTGTCCTCAATTCATTTCATGGATCATGATTTGTGTCACCTCTGCTTCTTTTGCTTTCAACATTAATGGCCAACCCCTGGGAAACTTTAAACCTTCTAGGGGCTTGAGACAAGGCGATCCTCTCTCACCCTATTTGTTCATAATAATCTCCGAAGCTTTTTCCAACCTCATCAAACAAGCCTCCCTGCACCACTCTTTCCAAGGCATAAAAATCAGTAAACACTCCCCATCTTTGACTCATCTCTTCTTTGCCGACGACTCAATCATTTTTTCCAAAGCTGACACCTTCCATGCCACCCTCATATCAAACATTTGGAAAATCTACGGCCTGGACTCTGGTCAAAGAGTTAATCTCTCTAAATCATCAGTCTATTTCTCTAAGAACACTTCTACCTCTGCTAGGGCTGAGATTAGCACCATTTTGAATGGTATTTCTACAGTCCAGTCCTCTAAATACCTAGGCCTTCCCCTAGGTATTGGCTCCTCCAGAAAAGAAGCTTTCAACTTTGTTGTCCACAATGTAGATAGCAAGCTTAACTCCTGGAAAAATATCCTTTTAAGTGAAGCGGGCAAAGAAATCCTCTTGAAATCAGTCATACAGGCTTTACCCACCTTCACATCCTGTTTCAAGCTACCTCTGTGCATTTTCATAGAAATTTGTAGGATCTCAGCATCTTTCTGGTGGGGGCTGAAAGCTGATGGAGGAAAAAAGATCCACTGGGCATCATGGGACAAACTATCGAAACCAAAGGAAGAAGGAGGCCTCGGCTTCAAATGTCTAGTATCTTTTAATGAAGCACTCATCGCAAAACAATTGTGGAGGCTGCTCAATCACCCCAATCTTCTCATGAGCAAAGTCCTTAAAGGAAAGTACTACCACAATTGCACACTCTGGGAGGCCAAGCATAAAGCCACCGCATCCTGGCTTTGGAGCTCTTGGCTGAAACCTTGCAAGTGATAGGAGATGGGAAGTTAACCTCTACCTGGACTGACCCATGGCTAGCTGGCACCCCCAAACTGAGCCCCACACCTAGCTTCATCTCAGACTTCAAAAAGCTGGGGAAAGTGAGCAATTTGTTGAACCATGATGGCACTTCCTGGGACAAAGAGCTAATTGAATAATCATTCACTCCCCATGAAGCTCAGCTCATTCTGTCCACAGCACTAAACAAACCAGGACACAGAGATTGTCTGACATGGAGGGCTCACAAACATGGAAAATTTACAGTAAAATCAGCCTACTCCCTCATCCTTAAAAGCAAGCAAGCCACCCAAAGTATTCCAGAATCGAGTACAGCCAACATTTTTACAGCTAAGGTTTGGAAAACAACCTGGTCCATGAAAACAAAAATAAAATAAAAAATTTCCTTTGGCGATGTTGGCATAAATTCATTGGCTCACAAGACCAGCTCCTGCTCAAAGGAATCCAAGCCGACCCTATTTGCAAGGTTTGTGGAAGCACTGAAGAATCTCTCGAGCATGTCCTCTTCTTCTGCAAAAGAGTTGTTATAGTTTGGAAATTGGCAGACATTGAATGGTCAGGCATGCAAAATCTTTCCCTCACTTTTAAAAATTGGTGGACAAACATATGCAACATGAGGAGAGTTAAAAGCTTTAATGACAGAACCCACTTCTCTACCTTCATCCTTTGGCGACTGTGGAAATGCAGAAATCTGTGGATATTCAACAATCAGTGGAAATCAGAGAGAGAAATTGCAAATCAAGCGTGGAGAGAATGGAGGGAATTCGAGGACCTTAACCTCCAAAATCCCCCAGCTTGAGTACTTTGTTGATTCTTTTTTGGTATCTTGAAGGACTGCTTTTATGTGGTTACTAAGCTAGGAGCTCCTGGGCTCAGTGGCAGAGTAACTACCGGTTTCTCAAGGCTGCAGTTGCTTCTCTTTTGGCGTTTTTCAACCTTTCTCATGTTTATAGCTCTGTTTTGTTATTATGTTTGCTCTGGTTGTATAGTAGCTTATTTTTTATTTTCTTTTTGTCTAGTTTTGTGGGTTGTTCCCACTTTAACTTAACTGCTTCAGGTCAGTTAAGTCCTGTGCCTATGTGCACGCCTCCTTGTACTTTTCAAACCCTTTTCCGAGTTGCTATATATATTGTTTTTGTTGCGAAAAAAAAAAAGTATGTAAATGGCCCTAAATCAAATTGGATGAGACAAATTGCTCTTCAACATTCCCGAGTCCTAAGACGAACCAGACACACAAAAGAAAAGACTTGAAGCTCAAGTAGACTAGCATTGATGATTAAGCGCACCAGCAATCTTATTCCGTGCCACAATGCTAAGCTCGTCCGGGTTATTTCCCCCTATGGGTGGGTGCACTATAACTTTCACGGATCCTGGATTTAATATTCCTTCCCTTCCAGCAGGCATGATATCACCCGTGCCAATGAGCGTGATAGGGATAACGGGCACTCCAGTTTTTGAAGCTACGCTGAATGCGCCTTTCTACAGAATAATCAGCAGTGCATGATCATACTGACTTGTTGGGAAAGAAGTTCAATTTATGGTAATAAAATATATTAAATAATGCATCACTGGGGCAATCGTATTGCAACCTGTGAGTTTTAATCTAAATACTAACAGGAAAGGCAATTGTACCAAAAGTTATGATATCCCCTTGAGTTTCTAGTAACATTGCATATATTCTCTTAAAGGAGAATTCTTTATGTAAGATGAAACCTCGATATTGGTGAATTTAAAAAATAAACAGATTCTTTGTTGATAAGAGTATGATATTAACACTAGTATAATACCCGTGTATGACACGGGTGCTTGATAACAATAAGAAAAAATTGTTTTAACTTTCAGTTTCTTTCTTAAAAATCTATATTATTATTTATATTTAAAATGACACTTGTTACTACGACTTACCATCTTACATTATAACAATCTTTTTAACTTATATCATATAACTACTTTGTAGTTAAATTAGTTTAAACAATTTTAGTTCTTCAAATTTATATTAATAGGTAGTTTAATATTTATTATAAAGATAAATATAATTATTTATTTATTTTGTATGTATAACATAAATGTCAAATCGAAGCTCATCAAGAAATGATTAATTTGATAAACTATATATAAAAAATTTATAATAAATAAAAATTTAATTAACTTTTAAATATATTTATAGTTTAAGTTAGCAAACTTTTTATAATTTTAAAAGAAAGATGAGGAAAGAGAATTTATGCCTTATAAACAATGTCTATAATACGAAATAATATTAAAACATAATTAATGCTATCAAAAAGGATCATAAATATAATATTCCATACCTAGTTATTTTTGGTTTCAAAGTAAATAAAAATTCATCAAAGTCAAATGACAAAGCTTGATAATTTGCCACACAGGATCCTGAAAATGAGAACCTGCTACTTAGGCTAAACACATTAGAGAATCATATATACGGGGACGGAATAATTTTACAGTTATGGTTTGTGTCCCGCCTCTATATATATATGAGGGACATCTTCCTCATGACATGTTCAGGAAAGGGAAAAAGAAAAACCATAAAAACAATTGAAGGTTTTAAGAGAACTGAAATGTTCATACTGTCAATTTTTGTCAATTTTAAAAGAACGGTTTTAAATAAATTATGGTTTTAAGATCTGTGCTAAGCAAAATTGTGTTTGCTAATCACGTTAACAAATGAACTCCCTGAGCACCAATATACAAGATAAATAAGGATGGAAATAGAAATCCCACCTTAAAAGTACCCAATTTGCCATCTTTACTCCGAGTACCCTCCGGAAAGAAGAAAACCGATGCCCCCTTCTTGATCAGAGTAATGCACTGCTTAAGGCAGTCCTACATATGAAGCATGAAATAAATTAACAAAGCTATACAATACTCTCAATCCTATTCCACGAATGCTACGCTACTTAAGGATTATGAAGTAAAACAAAAGCTAGTTTAACAAGGATAAATAAAATTAAGATCAAAGAAGAACCATTACCAACTGACTCCTGCTATCCATGCGCTTCAGAGGAATCACGCCCAGCAGAAACATGGCCCACCCGATAATTGGGTACAGAAAAATCGAAGTTTTGCTGATAAATTTGAAGCTTCTCCCAAGAGTCAGTAGAGTATATATGTCTAGAAAGCTCTGGTGGTTTGAGACGTAAATCGCAGGTTTATCTATTGAGGGCAGATTTTCCAATCCCTCGTACTTGATCTTCATAAACGGGGCCACTGTCAGAAAAGCCCAGGTTTTGGCAATAAAATAATGTGCTTTTCTACGGTAACGGTCAAAAATAAGGACAAAAGGATGCTGCAGAAGCATTGGCACGAACAAAATGACAGCAGCAAAGGCAGTTGCAGCATAGAAGCAAATTCCTCTGACCTTTGAATTCAACCAAATTTCTGAATTAAAGATTATAAGGTAATGAGTGGCTTGGTAAAAAACAAGAAAATAGAATTAGGCCAGGCTATTAGTGTACCTGACAGTGGATATGAAGCTCCTGAAGATCCTGTGAGTTCAGACCTAGCAACTATGTCCCTTGAAATTTTTCTGCTTTTTTTACGGCCTTCACAAATATCGAGTATTTTACCGGGCTCGTCTTTTTGGTAAAATGCTCTCTGAGTTGGGAAATAATCTGGTCTCGAACCACAAACTATTTTGAGTGGCGGGATGTCTACATATACACGAAAATGCAAACCAACTAAAAACAATTTGAAGAAATTGATTAATGTTATGTGTAGTCCTTCAAATTGTCACGCAAGAAAAGAGTTAAGTACAGAATCTACAGAATTTTGTTAGAGTAGATTATTGTCCAACATACAAGCACCTATGCAAATTTATAAAGTAAACACTATGATGCAATTCTCAGTTCTCTAGTAACCAACCACATCCAATTAGCATTTGAAAAAGAAATAGGAAAAGCATGTCTGTCATCACACTTCCATCTTACACAATACACTTGTAACAAACTCAACATTCTCAGTCATCAATCACAATCAATCCTTATTTCATAAACAAAAATCACGTCAACTGTCAGTAAAATTCTATTTAAAAATCAGTCCTTCTAGAACTTATTGTTCTCTTCCTTAAACAACTTTTCGCCACTACTCTTTTTCAAATGAAAAATAAACAACCTTTCGGCTTTCGCTGCTACTCTCTTTCAAATGGAAAATTGGACGGTACAAAAGAAGTGCAATCACACCCCTAATTGCAACCACAGTGAAAGGGTTCAATGAATAATTAAGATTAGGATCCAAGGGATAAAGAGATGCAAGATCAGCTTTACAGGAAGAACAAGCTTTTTGCTTCCGCATAATTTTCAAATGGTGAAAACTTTGCCCCAACTTTCATGTAATCAGATTAAGCACATGCCAACAGCGAAATTCGAAACTCGGTTCATTTCAGAAATAATAATAACACAAATAGAAAGCCCTCCATCACTTACGTAACACAGTGTTTAAGGTTGGATCCTATTTCAAACAAAAATGGAATCTGCAAAATAAGAAACTATGCTCTCACCTAGAAGCTTTATAATTATAAACATAAGTTCTTGCATCAAAGCATGAAGTACTCCTAATACGTAGCAGGAACAATATTCAAACATCCCGCATTCCAAAATATGACGCAGATAAGACTTAAGAGAGCCACTAGAGTTTTTCTTGAACAAAATGAAATAGTGAAAAATAAATCTCGCGCATACACTAAGCCGATATTGACCAACAAAAACTGAAAGAAAATTACAGTGTGGGGCAATGAGAAGCATGGGGGGGAACAAAAGAACGCAGGATACTGAAAACAGCAAAGTGGAAAAAGATGCACTTTGCTAAACAGTATCTAATTTGAAGATATAATTTCTAAAAATTAATTCAGGATTCAGGAAATTTAAAGTAAACCGCTGAAAGAAAATATATGAGCACAAATTCACTCACGATTTCTTGAATATCTCTGCACCGGCTGTTTGTGAGGGCAGCAGCTAAAATGAAATCCATTATGCGAGGCCAACTGTTCAGAACAATATTCAGCAGTAGAGTATAAGTAATGTTGTGCTTGATAAAAATGTTCATCTTGCTTTGGAGTAGAACAGATAAACAGAGTATGATATCACTATTTTACATGCATAAATTGCTCTTATCCACGCTTTACCACTTCTCAATTGGACATGCTTAATATTGACACACACCTCCTCTAAATTAGACACACTTCTTACCAAATCCTTAAACAACCACAAATGACTCACACAAAATTCCAAACACATCATTGCTAAAGCGAAAATGACTTCAAGGCTTATAGAAAAAAGTTTACTTATTACTTAAGAAGAGTATACACATATTTTTAGATGAACCGTAGTAGAAATTTACTTCATGCTCAAGTTTTTATAACACAGAAGCAGACAACATCAAGGTTGCCAAGAAAGACAAAAACAACTAAATACAATGATTAGGCTTATTCATCAATTACAAATGTGTATCTTGAAGTAACTTCAAAAGAAAAACCATGCGATTTAAATAATACAATGATTAGGCTTATTTTGAACATGATCAGGCTTATTTTATTTTCATCAAATACACACACTAATAAATCTTGTTCAAACATAAACAACCACATGATACCAAATACCTAAATTCCATTGAATGCCAGAAAACAAAATAAGAAAAAACACAGTTTGGTAAAGAAATCACAAAACAAAAACACAAAAACATAAAGTGGGTTAGAAGATAATTTACTGGTCGACTAAAACCTCCAACGAAAACCCTTTGATCTCTTTTGCCTGCATAATATCAATGACACGGCCGAAAAAAAAAAAAAGACAAACAAAAATAATCTGTAAATAAACAAACTCTTCCAACAATTCATCCACACACACATGTACAGAAATGGAAGAGGATAACTCACACGGATGGTGAAGTGAAACAGAAGAAGAACAAGAATAGAGATTAGAATGTCTAAACTGAAAGGATAATTCCATTTACTGAAATCGTTTTTGGTTCTCTCTGCCGAAGTAGATTTGGAGGCAAGGGCAAAAGCCTTGCTTATTACATTTTCTATACCGCCTTGCAATTAGTTCTAAATATTGTTGTTTGGTTCGGGATCGGGAGTACAGTTGAAAGGTCAAAATCACCCTGCAAAAGGCCAACAAAGAATAAAGAGGGGATAAGGTCATAAATTATTTTCACTTTCCTAACTATTTCTTTTATTTAAATAATTGGATATTTTTAAGAAAATTAACATTTATTTCGTTCAAGTTTATCTCTTTACTTTATCAGCATAATTAAAAAAATAAAAGTTGATCTCATTTTTTAGATTTTTACTAATTTATCGTATATTTAACTAGTAATCATACTTAACCATTATACTAATACTGGTAGTTGTATTACTAGGCACTGGCTGATCCAGCCCATTTTAGTGGGGTCACAAGCCCCAACAGGTTTTGAAAAATAAAGCATGAAACATATATATATATATATATATATATATATATATATAGGGTTGGTTTCGGTGAGAATGACTCTTACCGAAAGAAATAAGAATGAATTACGTACGCAGGATCAAGGCGATCTAATGGTCATCATGGGCGCACTCCAATTTAATTGCCCCATCAATTGGAGGGTAATAAGGTAAATATGCTGCTTACCCCCATCAATCGAGTTAATTGAAAATCTCTCAGATGAAGCCCTCAACTATTCCCATACCTCATATTCACGAACCCGATCTCGTACATCAATTCCCCGCAGCTGCTGAATTTCGTGAGTAATTAAGATGAGATTAATGGCGAAAATTCAATTCTCTTGAAATTTCGAGGTCGTTCTTCCACTAATTCGAGCTCAATTTTTGGATATTACAGGAGAATTCCGGCAAACTTCCATTCACGAGCCCAAATTTTCCAGGCGAGTAGCCATATTGCATACTTGACGAACTCAGGTATATCCATCGCCAACTATAAACCGAACAATTGGTCGATTATTGTATGAATCGAGTGTCGTAGGTTCGATTATCAATTACGTAATATTCTTATAGTAGTTAGTGGAAAACTTATTTGATATACTATGCGTTTTCATGCTATTTTAGGTCTTTCATACGATTTCTTGTTTGAGTTGCATAAGCAATGGATTTGAACGAATCGCAAACAGGTATTGAGTCCAGATTTTTTTTTTTTTTGTTATAAAGTGCAATGTTTGAGTCTATTGCGTGCAATCGTATATTCACATCAGTGCAATCGGTTGGTTTACTTTATTATTAATAATTATTTTTTTTCCTTGCAATGACACTTAAGGACTGCAATCACCGGTTACACAGCAGCAACTTTTAATCACACCGGGTGGAACAAAACATTGGATACCACTCTGTGGCGAATCGATTAAACTATATCAAGGACAAAGATTTCGGGAATTACATGAAGCGGTAAACTTCTACATGACTTATGCTCTTACTGTTGGATTTGACGTGAGACATAGCATATTGGTGAAAGCACGTGACAAGATGGTTATTTGGAAATACCTCGTGTGCTCACGGGAGGGGTATAAGCATTATGCAGTCATCAGTCCTACAGGGCATGCTAAAGGTCATGTGACGAGACATATGGTTGTTTGTTTGGAAAAGGTAGAGACATATGGTTGTTTCTTTAACGAATATTGCTCTATGTAGCACTCGATCATTGCCGTGAATTTTACATCAGTCATTTTAATGCTACTCTCTTGTATTTTTTTTTTCAATGGAATTGGCTGATAATTAATATGTGTGCAGTGGGATGTTTATATGGTTTTTGGGTGTGCACATTGACCGCGAACACTATGTATATTGCACTTTTTTAGATCACACATTGCACTTTTTTAAACATTATGTTGCACTTCTATGAACATCGCGTTGCACTTTTTTCAAGCCTTGATACCATATGAATCTTAAAGAAGGGTATAGTGTATGAACCCGTGTATTTACGCAATTGCAAAATCATTCGCTATAACGACCTAATACAAATACGTATTTGCTGATGAAAATACGCTGGATTTAGATGTAATTGCAACAAATCGACATTGCAACAATCACACGTCTGGCAACCTAAGCATGTCTTCTGTATATGCTACACTAATGCACTTTATATATAGTAACATTGCACAATATACAACACGCCGTTTCACTTTACAAAATGTTATGTCGCACTTTATCATCGATATCGCAACAATCACACGTCTGGCAACCTAAGCATTTCTTCTGTATATGCTACACTAATGCACTTTATATATAGTCACATTGCACAATATACAACACGTTGTTGCGCTTTACAGAATGTAATGTCGAACTCAAGCATTTCTTCTGTATATGCTAGGCTAATGCACTTTATATATAGTCACATTGCACGATATACAACACGCTGTTTCACTTTACAGAATGTAATGTCGCACTTTATCATCGACATCGCAACAATCACACGTCTGGCACCCGAAGCATTTCTTCTGTATATGCTACACTAATGCACTTTATATATATTCACATTGCACAATATAGAACACACCGTTGCACTTTACAGAATGTAATGTCGCACTTTATCGACTCACTCTACAAATTAACGTCAATAGCTCCGTCCAATAATCCACAAACCTTGAATCAGAAACCTGTTCTACGTAATATTTTATAATCGCATCGCGTCGTTCATCCACCACAAAAAAAAAAAAGAAACACTATATATATTGTCGCATTAACATACCAAAAACGACAAAAACAAATCATAACAAACTACTAGAATCGTCATCCAAAACCATAGTGCTAGAAACAAACATACAGTGACGGGTGTACCGAACGTTAGGTCCTACACAAATATGTAATAAATCAAAACATGGCAATAATACGACTAACGTTTCCAAACAATGAACGACACATGCGACACGTCACACAGCATCACCTTTATTTGACTTGAACCTCTTTGATTCGGACGAGGTTAACGTCTTTCCGGATCATTTGACGTATTGTTAATGCTTGCACAATATACGTTTTAGTATAATTAGTTACACAATAAATGATACACAATATGTGAAATAAATTGTGACATTCAAGCTATGATTAGGATAAATATAATCAAGTAAGTATTAACATATCAATGTCAAAGAAACGTGCAATTGATTTCTGACATGAGAGTACAAGTTATACAACCAAGAAATATATAATATATACAGTTTCTGGATACATATTCATTGTCTACCTCAACCAACTCCGACAAAATCGACAACAAGATTCAAGAATTTAAAGATTCAATGATTCAGTCAATACAAACATAAATAAGATGCTTTTTTTGTAAGCTAACTGACTGATTGATTTTCTATGTTCATCTTTTCTATGTTTCTTATGCACCACTTGGAAAGAACAAAACAAATAAATCTTATTTTCCAAACTTACCTTTTTTGTTATTTATTTGGCTAAAGAATCAGTTCAAGAAACTTCATATAGAAACTCACCTTTTCTTTTTAACTTCTAAATGCAATTGGTTTTGACATGCTTTATGCTCGGTATGCTTCAACAAAGAAGGAAAATGATGCAAATGCAACAATATAATCTTGCTTATATCCAAGTGGGCAATACTCGATTTAAGATTCAGTTTCTTGATTAAACTCGAACATATTATCTATAAAATCCAATATTTTAAAGCCATATCAGCAAATGGATCCCACATGAGTGTCCTGTGACTCTATTCTATGTTTGTAACAAACAAAATCCTCACATTTAGTACTAAGAGAGATCTTTCCCTCTCAATCTTCCGTAAAGTAATTAACCAATATCGACATAGGAAGAAAACTGAAAATATCAAGACTTTTTGCCAATCATTTCAGAGAACAAAGTCCATAAACTAGATACATTCTTCAAATTAATCATCATTTATTTAGAGTCCCAATATTTATATGTTTTGCCTTATAATTAATAATATATGAATACAACCTTTCCAAAAGAAATTTGCATCCACTCGCCAGATAAACCTATCACAATTTTTCTGTTCAAATTCCATTATTCTGGAAAAACTTCAAAAAAAGAACAAAAACATCATGCACATAAGCCCAACATAGTGCACAACAATTTCACAAAACAATAAAAAAATAAATAAAGAAAGAACATTGACGCAATCGTCGTTTTCAAAATTGAAGCATATAAAAAGCCCTAACATGAGTAAACAACCAACAGATCTACGAAAAATAAATTAATCTTGTAAAATAATGCTCGATCTAACCTGTCATGTTCGAATGCAAGAACGTGTTCTTCGAGCTCGTCCACTGTTAGCAAAGCCTTAAGATCTAGTGAAAAAAAAATCGCAGTGAAACCAGAGACAATAAGATGAACCAAACTCACTAAATCTGGAAATATCCCACATGTATGTTGCTCGAGAATCAAAATCGAAGCGAAAATCAGCTAAAAACATCACATCGGAGTGAAAATCGCCATCGATTTCATTGTCTGACGAGAGCTCATAGAGAGATCGACAATGCGAGCTAAATCTGCAATTAATGGGTCCAAAAACAGTTTTACCCCCTTTGTTGTGCAAAGTGACGGATTTGTCATCTTGTGCATACATAAAACCATGTAGTTGATAAGTGCGTCCAGTATTTAATCTCAACTATTGTTTGGACAAATCCGACGGTGTATATTCGTTCTTATTTCTTTCACCAACCTTTATTTCTTTCACCAACCTTTATATTTCTGCACTTTCATATATATATATATATATATATATATATATATATATAT